CCATCATCATCATCACCACCACCATCATAATCATAATCATAATCATGGAAAAATGTGCTACTGCTACATGTTGTCTTCTTCCGTCTACTGTGCGTCTGTACTGTGGGACTCCTTCGATATCTCCGCTGAGAACACTGAGTTGAGATTGGAAACCTCGCTCCCTATACGATCCACGTGCTTGGCAAGCTCGCTGATCTTAGTCTCCTTCTCATGGAACCACTCGCTCAGCGACTTCATCTTTTCAACGGCAGTGACGTCAACTGATCCATCCATGAACCCAAAGTCTACGTCTGGCCCTGGTTGGATCTCCAGCGGAAAGGAGGAGGAGGAGAAAGAGGAGGAGGAGGAGAAGGAGGAGAAGGAGGAAGAGGAAAAGGAGGAGGAGAAGAAAGAGGAGGAGAAGGAGGAGGAGGGAGCTTGAGTACTGCAGGATCTACAGTACAGCCAGTGCGTTGGATGGCGCCGGAGATTATCAGGAGGAGGCAGCACTCAGAGAAGAGCGACGTGAGGCAGTACTCAGAGAAGAGCGACGTGTGGGCGTTCGGGGTGACCATTTAGGAGGTCTGGACGTGAGCTGAGATTCCGTTCGGAGGTTCCTATCGGTACTCATGACTTACATCCGCTCAGTGTTTGAAGGACGTTGGAGAGGGATTGCAAAACTCCAACTTGTATCAGACTCTCTTGGCTGATCTACTCTCAGTCAAGAGTCAAGCAAGTAGCACTGTACGACTATCGCACGGTTGTATAAATACACACAAGGCAAGGGATTAGAGGGATACGATATTCCTACCTAAGAAGGCGGACGTCGGTTGATCCTAATTACAATCGGAGGATGTCTCCCGATGCCGATACTATCTCCGGTCGCTCAGGCCTGGTCAAGAGCTCAATGCAGTACAGCAGTGAGCGAAGTTGCTTCTCCTTCGAAGGCCCCATCTCCTCGCTTTCATTTAGCGCGGTTTTCCTTGAGCGAGAGAGCGGGGAGAGGTCGTGAAGGTGTGGGCTGTCTGTCGAGCTGTCGTCGTCTGGTAGATCTTGCTCGCTCAGGCTGAGAGCTTCGAAGTCCCGCTGGTCTTGTGCTTGCATGGAGGATCGATGAAGACGACGAAGAAGTAGGAGTGAATCTTTCAAGTTGGGATGTAAGATGTATCAGGAGAAGATGAATGTGTTTTGGAGGAGGATGTATCAGAAGAGGGAGTAGAGGATCCAAGGAAAGATGTATCAGCCGGAGAGGAAGGTATCGTGGAGGATGACGTATCAAAGGAGGATGAAGCAGGCAAAGGTATATTGTGGAGGTGAGCAGGGAAAAATGCGGACGACACGTAGTGGGTGACAGGCAACGTAGAAGGAAAATCAGCAGGTCAGGGGGTTAAGACTTCTTCCGAATGTTCTAGAGTGAGTCCGTGGCCTGGTCGGTAACGTGACCGGTAGCGTGACCTGCATAAAAAGCGATGAAGAGTTTCTATCACCAGGGCCTGGCGCCCTAAAATGAGCTCCTTTCAGTTCAGTTTCGTCTGCTGCCGTCTGGCCCGCCGACTCTTTCGCGCACCGTTTGGCGTGACTGTCAGCCTCGGAGTCAGCAGGTCAGAGTCACGACAGTCTGCCACGGACTCATCAGCGTATAGAGTAACGTGACTCAGTGACTTGTCACGTGACTGATCCTGACCGGGACGGTCCTTGTTGCACTGGCCACCGTACTCCGTAGCACTGGCTACCGTACTACTGAGGCTTTGAGTAAAGACTGAGGCTACTACTACTAGGTGCCCGCAAACTTTACTCAAAGTTAAGTTAAAGATCAGTACGAGGACAATCAGGAGAGTGCCCGCCCGCGGCTGCTTACTGAAGAGCTCTCTTTACTCAAACTTATTATTTAAATAAATATTTCTTTTACTCAAATATTAACTAAAGAATTAAAAATTATCACGGTGGCTATACAGAGGACGGGCCCGGTCCGGTCGGTTGCCGAATGTTGAAAGGGTGTCACCGCCCGCGCGCCGGCCGGGCTCGGCGATCATCGGATCACTGATATGGCACCGTGACTGCCAGTCGGACTCGGACCGTGAGAGAGGGGAGGCGGGCTTGGCAAGAGTCGCAGTTTCCGTGTGTATGAGGGGGATGAGTGCTTTCACAGCGAAAAATGTGGGAGGATCATCCCGTTGAGATGCGACCGCTCCCCTCCTGACCCACCTGCTCTCCTGCTGTTACTGCCCCTCCTGCTCTCCTGCTCTCCTGCTGTTACTGCCCCTCCTGCCCTCCTGCCCTCCCGCTGTTACTGCCCCTCCTGCTCTCCTGCTCTCCTGCTGTTACTGCCCCTCCTGCTCTCCTGCTCTCCTGCTGTTACTGCCCCTCCTGCCCTCCTGCCCCTCCTGCCCTCCTGCTCTCCTGCACCGTCTCACCTCCCTGCCTCCTTCTTCCTTGTCTTGCTCTTGCTCCTGACCTGCCCGATTGCTGCTCATATTCATTCCCCTGGGGTCTCCCGCCCTGATTTGCTCCTTCCCCTCCCTCCCTCCGCTCTTCTAATCCTCCTCCCCTCCACTCTGTTTCTACCATCCTCCCCTGCATACCCGCCACTTGCCTCTGTTTCACCTCTCCCCTGCAAACTCGTTCTAACACCTCCCCTGCGATCTCTCCTATAACATGCGCCTTGTCCACGTCCTCTTTCTCATCCTCCTCCTCCTCCCCTCCCTCCTGTCTGATCAGCCTGCTCCAACGCAATCGCGTTCTCGCCCAAAGCAGCTACCCAGCAAGTTCAGCCGTGAACGAGCAGGAGAGGCAGAGATCAACTTGGGTCCTCGACTCTCAACAGAGGAGGAGAAGAAGGAGAAGAAGAGGGGGAAAGAGAGGACGAAGAAGAAGAATCACAAGGCGATCTATCGCCCCACAGAGGTTCTGCGACCGAGCCCTTATGTTCTGAGCGAGGATCCGAACCATCCTAACATGCGGACATACTATCCCCGCGGCCAAGAGCATACGGCCAACTTGATGCCCGAGAATACTTTCTTCAAAGATCACGACTCCGAGGTGTTGCTCGCTTTGCTGCTCGATCAGAGTATAAGTGTCTTGGGTGATGACTGTGTTGTTTGCTGTGAATGTGTGTGTGTGAGCCTGATCATGAAATCTGTTCATGTCACTGAAATATGCTTGTCTCACTCAAGTATGTTTGACGGGCTGAAGTATGTTTTTCTCACTTGAACTATGTTTGTCTCATGCCGAGGACTCGTCGTTTCTTGACGTGCTGCAATCTTTGTGGGTTTGGATTTCCCCATTTGACGAGATTTTGTAGAAAGATGAATCGGACCCATGGAAAGAGTTCAACAGGGTGGCAGATATGGACAGCAAGGAGCACGAGCAGGAGATCTGGAACAAGTTGGAAGAGAAGTAAGGAAATCCCATCACATCATTTGAACAACGTTTTTCATCTACACATCACAGTTGTTCCTTCAAACGGCTCTCATCCACATTACTCCTCTCTCTTCCAAACCTTGTCTCTCACTGCTTCACTCCTCTCTTCTTCCAAACCTTTCCTTGCATTGAACGCTTCTTCTTGTCCGGCAGCGGGGCGGACATCAGGAGATGGCTGGATGATGGCGAATACCACAAGACTATCGACAAGTACGGCCTTCAAGACATCACCAAGTTCAAGCACCTCTGCCCTCCCATGTGGTTCGAACTACCTGGGTCCTCCGACGACGAGGAGCAGTTGGACAGGGCGGTGAGTCCCCAGCTGGAGCTAGGCTGGATAGCCCGTCCGAGCTGAGAACGTCCGACGTCCCTGACTGACTTCCCAGCTCTGCATGCCGAGCGACGACGAGGTTCAGCCGCCGACGGTGGACGAGCCGTTCTGCATGAAGTGCCAGAGCTTGCTGGGCATGCGCGACATCAACTTGGGGCTCGAAGAGGACGTAAGGCGCACACGTAGCAGGAGACGGTGGCTGACGAGTTTTCCCAGCCGACGGATCCGAAGTGTAGAAGCTGCGGGTACCTCAACCCGGCCGGGCCGGACGGGATGCTGCTCAACGGCGCGAGAAGTACCTTCTTGCACTTTGGGGCGTCGCAGAAGCTGCAGGGGCTGCAGGAGGATCAGATTGATGAGATGCTGAAAGAGGATTCCGATGTTGCGGATCAGGTGCTGTCGGCTGCAGTCGCTCCTGCCTCCCCCGCACAGTCTCTCGCTCCACCTGCCTCCTCCTCCTCCTCCTCCTCCTCCTCCTCCTCTTCCGACACCTTCTCGTTGTCATCCTTTCTCTCCGCCCTTATCCTCCCCTTCCCGTTCCCCTTCCTTCTCCTCTCCACCCCCTTCGTTGCCCTCCTCCTCCACTTCTTGCTCCTCCTCTTCCTTCTCTCCCCCTAACATTCTTGGATCAGCTGCACAACTTTGAAGAGCACCGCCCTCAGATGGAAGAGAAGTGCGACGAGTGCGGCTACACCAAGGCCTACTACTGGTCCGCTCAAGTTCGCAGCATGGACGAGGGGCAGACGACTTTCTTCGAGTGTGTTCGGTGTGGACATGTGTGGAGTATCAAGTAGGCCTGTGATGGTCGTGAGAAGGTAGTATGCAAGGGAGAGTTTGTTCGTGGTAGTTGTGTGGAGCGGGAGGGAAGGGAAGGTGGAGGGGCAGATGTGCTGTAGGTGATGGGTACGAGCTTGTGGTATGGAAGACTTGCGCTTTATTACTTTAAGAACAAACATCTTATTCATCAATTATCGTACATTTGAGTGTCGTGCCTGGATACTTTGGGTATTCATCTATCTGCGGACAACATCTGCAGATCAAGTCAGTGGAGTGTAAGAGACAAGTGGGGGAGTTTGAAGATAAGTATGGCGATGATAACAGCTCAAGATGCCTTCAAGTGTCTTCACCTGCAGTGGAATACCAAGACGCTGCTGAATCTCCTCGACTTGTGCCTGGTGAAAGAGATGAGGGGAGAGAAGATGGAGAGGGTCATGGTGTTGTCAAGGCAAGGAAACAGAGCGAGAGAGATGAAGAGAATGGAGAGGAGGAAGGAAAACGGAAGGAAGAAAGAGATGCTGAGGGAGGGCAGCAGAGAGATAGAACAAGGAAAGGGAGGGAGGGAGGGAAGTTACCTTGACAACATCCTTCATCTTCATGATCCTGTCAATCTCTTCGGATGAGGATCGCACTTGTTGAGATTCTGGTGTGGACGAGAAAGCTGCTCCTCCTGCTTCTCCTCCCCATCCTCCTCCTCCTCCACCACGAATACTTCATGTGCAGAATATTACTGAGAGGGAAAAACCCTTCGTTAGGCTGCGAGTCTGCTCTTATATAGGTTTTTTCTAGATCCTGCCCTGAGC